ACCCAGAATCTCTCAAACTAATAAGAAAACTGTCTATGGTTTAGTCAAACATTAGTCATTTTCTTATAGATTCTGGTTAATTTAAAGGCCCTCTAACTCTCACACCATTGTATAACGGCTCATATATGTTCATCCATCTTATTCTGTCTTTCAATTGCGCCAATCGGACCATCTTCTTGACCTCCAATTCAAGGAAAAAAATTCGTGTGTGATCGTGACAGAATGCGGGTTAGTAAATGAACTTCCCTCTTTATTTCTTCTTTTTGTTTTTCTTTTTCATATATTCGATTGGATTTTACTGTATCACTCTCTAACTTCAATTTCCTGTGATGAAGGAAAGAAGCCTAGTTTTCTTTCTTTTGGTTTTTATTTTCAGAACGAAAAGTTCTGTCACCATTGACGTAGGGTTGTTTTTGTCTGCTAGATGGACAATAGTTTATGAATAAAGTCGGTCCACTTATACCATTCGTGCACATACTTTGTTATTATATGAATTTTTTTATTCAATCATTGCCAGAAAAATCACTAGTAAAGTTCTTTGGAACATGGAATTTTCGATGTACCAGCAAGGACCCTTTTCTTGGACCACCAATAGGCCAGCTAAATCAACTTCTTTTCCCATAATCACTCATTCATTTTTCTCTACATCTGCTTATTCTTCTCGAATATCTTTTCGTAGTATTGCTAAGGTGATCAAATTCGTTCGTCAAAAATAACTCGGCCGAACAAAATACGTACAAATTTTTAAACATATAGAATAATTAACAGCGCGTATCATTTGATTCAAATCTTATAATTCAATGAGATTGATCCTTCAACCTAGTATACTCCAATTAATTTATCACTCTCATCATCCCTATAGCAGTGTAATGATAGGGTACATTGAAGTAGTTTAAAATACTAATTCGTGTTATATAGTGATGGTCAAAAAGAGGGTCTTTGGAATCATTGTTGTGGTTTATGATCAATTTGAATAAGAATTCTTTTCTTTACTGCTCTTTCCACTCTCTCCTGCACATATTTATCACAGCAAGGGAGAATGATAATCAACTAGCTCTCTAGCTAAACACAATGATACACAGAAAGAAGCACCCAATTTGGTTCGCAAGATTCGGTCTTGTTGTTTTTTCTTTTGGGGTTTCCATTGGGCATTTCTGATTAATTAGTGATCTAATCATAATTATATAGGCTATCAATCTGAAACTTGGAAAACTAGGGTCTTTCTCACTGGTATAATATATAAAGAAAAGTTGCCATTAATTCTTCTAGCTAGGTAAGCTACTAGTACATTGAAGAAGATGCCAAGCTTGATGAGGGTTATGACTTGAGAAAGAAAAAAAATCATTAAAATGATATGCCTGCTCCCCTTTATGACCAAATTAAGCATCTATCTTTCTGTTTGCTAATTAATTAATTATGAATTAAATTATAATGATTCCATACTTATATTATATAGTACTGCTCCAGAAAATCTTCTCTGATGAGTGCTAAATCTTCAAGACTATTCATGCAATGCTACCAAGCTAGCCTGCAGCTTGACGCATGGCTGGTTTGCTTTACATGTGACATTATATATAATGCATTTTGTGCCTGGAAGATTCAAAGAAAAAAGGATTCATATTGCTTTGATTTTATCATGTTTTGGAATAAATACAAAAGTTGCATAATTTGAAGGGCATAGTGCTAAATATTAGCTTTATGATCACCAGAATATATTCCAAATGTATATTCAGTTCATCCTGTGTTTCCTTTACTAGCTTTCATCTATGTCATACAGTTATGTACTAACTAATCCCAAATTTGACTGCTATAGTCCTACTTCCACTAATGTTACCTAAACTTCACCACTTTCAATATGAATTCAAAATTCTCACTATATTAATAATATTATCTCGTGAAAGAGAAGTTATGTTATCGAATTATCAATTTAAATCATCATTACGGTGTTAAGCACGTGTATATTAATAACATTATCTTATCAAACAGTCTAAAATGTTATGTCATTTGATTATCATTCTAGATGCATTCACACGTTCAATTTCAAGTGAAAGCAAAAATTAACTGATTCGCAATTTAACAACATAACATGCTAGACTGTCTAATAAAAGAACGCGCATTACTCTCACACATATATTTTATGGATATGAATTGTACAAGTGTCATTACCCAATTAGAAGGGTGGGGATGATGAACTTCATTTTTGTTCTCTTCCCCTTTCCTGGGGAGAGTTTTATATTATATAAATATTAGTTTGTTTGTGGTATGCTGGGGAAGGAAGGATCGTGCCATCCTCACTCTACCAACACTTGAAGGTTTTTTGCTACTGCTTGTTTTAGTGGCCAATGATTTGACAGCACTAAAAAGGGTTGAAACACTAATACATTATTAATTACTAGCCTAGGAAATTCTTTGACTGCCTGTTTAATTGGAAGATAAAATTCCTGCACTAATTATCTATACCACTTGAAATATATATATATATATATATATGATATTCCTTATCTGAATGAGCTTTTCCTGCATTTTCCCAATTTGGTATATAGGAAGTGTTATAAAATTAGCAATAAAATAAAATAAAATTCCTCGCTTTTACTAATATATGTGAAATCGTAGTTCCGCACTAAAATTCATAATTCAATACTTGAAAAATAAAATATAAATTAATTATAGAATAATAATTGATCTCATATCCATTCATTCTCTCCGTACGGTTTATAGTTTATATTAGAGAGAGCTAAATAAAGCCGTGAAAGGATATCATTTTGGTTAATTAGACTAGGTATTAAATTAATAATAATAATTAAGAAAAGTCCCATTTTAGCATTACCTTAGTGCAACATCATGTCTCACTTTGACCATCTGAGGTGGGCTAATAATGCTGCATTTTTCCATGAACATAATCGATTGTCCTACCGACAGAGAAGAAGAAAAAAAAAGTAGATTAGCATGGGATTTAGGGTTAAGAGCATCATGTCTGTGAATACATAGGCAATTTTTCTTATATTCTTTCGTGGACCAAGTGACAAGTTGTGAATTAAATTATATCAAAGTTAGAAAGAAAAAAAAAGAAGGAAACCTATTGATTGCAAACGTGCAATCAAATTCATAGTCATATAGGGCTTGCATAATGTTACTAAAAGCTACTTTGTTGAACGAATTACTTTTTTTCTAACGGCTGGTTAAGGCATATTTCTAAAGTACATGAACGAGAAGTCCATTATCTTTTGAGTGAAGCATGCCAAGTTTAATGTAGAACGTTAATTCAAAAGTGTGACCCCAACAATTGCTCAACCCCACACTTTAAATTATAAATCTCTATTTGTTACGGCGATTTATTATAATATCATTGATTTACACTTCGTTGAAGAAGATAATGAGTACACATTTCATTAACCATGATTGTCGAATAAAAAATATTCTCAATATGGTCAAAACACTTTCCTTGTCGCCGTCTTTCTTGGCTAAACAATGGGTGGATCGATTAGGCCATTCATGACTCTCTCTTTTTTTTTAATAAATATTTTTAAAGTTTAGATGATTGTGAAACAATAATTTTATCAACTAGTTTTTGTTTGGAGTTATTTTTACGACTCCCAAAAAACCATCGTGTATAATTATCTTATAAAAACATAAGAGAAAACGTGCACCTCAAGGATCGTAAGATGAGTAATTTGAAGTGTCAATAACTGTTTTCTTTTTATTTAGAATGATGATTTTTTTATCTAAATTTAGAATGAGTATGAGTGGCTATTTTTAGAGTTGAAATGGAATCAATCTTATTCTTATGAGTGTACCTAATGTCATATTCCAAAGATGATCTCAAAATTTTGCTTTTACCGCTGCCAATGGCTTGAAAGTAAGAGCAATTTGTTGGATAAGCAAGTAAAATTGAATTGGAATATAAAAATAATAAAATAATTATAAAAAATTAAAAACAGTTTTCACCACTAAAGTTTTTTAGGCCTCTCTGCCCTCAACAGTTTTAAACAATTTTCTTGTGAGGATAAAGGCCAAAAGCATATATGCCATGTGATATATATATGAAACAGTGAATTGCTGGCCCGTTTGTAGGAAACTTTTGCTCATTTGGCTTATAAAGATTCATAAAAAATTTCTCCACCAACATTGTAGAGATGTTATTTGCCCATTTGGAAAGTGACAACCATATTGAGCAAGCAGAAAGGAAAACAAATTAATTTATTAATTAAAGGATAGAAAAAGAAAAACAGAAGTCTTCTGATGCTTTTTGCCCCTTTCTGTGTTGAACGGACATTGCATTTTCATTTTTTGTTTTTGGAATGCTAAAAAAATTCATAATCTGATCTTAATTACTGTTAAAACTAAAAAAGTTACAAGAATATCACTGCTAAAATATTTGCAGAGTAATTATAGGGTCTGTGTGGGAGTGCTTCTGAAATGGCCAAAAAACGTGTCATATAAGTGTTTTTGCTATAAAAGTTTAGAAGTACTTATCGGTCATATAAGTGCTTTATGGAGAAGCAATTGGCAAGTGCTTTTTCAAGAAGCACTCTAATCTCTATGAAAATTTCATCATTTTAAAATAAAAATGCTTTTACTAGAAGCGTTTACGAGCAAAGTGCTTCCTAAAAAAGTAATCCCAAGCAATATATTGCATGCAGTGCTTTGGAAACAAATCATATATAAAAACATTTCATATTTATTATAGATGACGACATATATACAGAGGGAAGTTAGATATTAATAATTAGAAAGACAACCAAAAAAAAAAGAAAGTAAAAAAAAAACCTATTAGTAACTGACTTCTACCACCGACAACTACCCAACTACAACATTAAGCCCAGCAAAGGTGTCTTCTTTTATTAAACAAAAAGGAGAAGAAAAAAAAAGGAAACCTTCGATTCTTCTTTGCTTTGCCCAGAAAGGCTTTTTAGTCATGTTGTGGTCCAAACCTAAATATTCTAAGAAAGCTCCTCCTGAAAGAAAAAGAAGCCTTTGTTGTTTTGCTCATCTATCAAAGCTCAAAAGCCATAGTACTGAAACTGAGTTGCTCCAAAATTGTTCATAAACTGTCCTCCTCCTCCTCCTCCTCTCACTGTTCCATTCTCTTCTTCTTCCACATTGAACCCTTCCACCTACAAACAAAATAACCACGTCAAACTTCACGTCGTCGTAATGTTCTATTGTAAAATTTACGACGAACATATAAGACTGTGAATCTAAACCGCACGTTGAGATAAAAATAACATGGTCAATTATCTAAGAACATTTCTCTTTATGTACACGCAACCACATATACTATTCCATTCAGCGAAGGTTAAAAATAACAAAAATTGAAATGTGGAAAAACATAATTACCCAGAGTTCATCTTCGTCTTCTTCTCTGTTACTTGAACATGCAGCCTTGAGAACCTCACCAGTTTCGTCGTTGCGTGCAAATCTGCCACGTATGCGGGGTCGGTTATCCGCTAGTGTTTTTCGACATGCATACTTTTTTTGGGTACACAGAAGAAACAAACCAGGCACATTCAGATTCAGTTCAGAGACAAGAATCTAATTTACACGTATAAATTAAGGTTGTTTCTAGACTATGAGGATGGGTTTGTGTAATTATGTTTGGTCAAAGAGAATTAACTAATTATTTTTTTATTTTTATTTTTATATAAAAAGTTCATGATTTACCTTAATGGTCTTGTTGAAGTTTCTCTGCGACCTCTTGGCTCTGTACTTTGAAATTCTCTCTTTCCTCTCTTCTGCGCTGTACCTCCCCATTTTGAAGTTTGCAGCAGCTTCCTCCATCACCGAGCTCTCTCTCGGATTGCGGGCTGTTCTAAAATTCTACAAAGAATTTTGTAAAAAAGAAGAAAAAAAAGAAGAAGAGAAGGGTTTAATTACACAGAGCAAATTAAAACAGGGGATTAATTAAATTTAAATGTGAGTTTTTAAGAGTAAACTGACTTGCAAATCTCCAGTGCTGGAAACTCTTCTCATTTGGCCAGCTAAAAAGCTGTTTTCAGGAGAGCTCAAGGCTTGGTTTTGTAAAGTTGAAGATTCCATGAGAGAATCAAAGCAAGGTTGGAAGACAACACCAGGCTTGCCATCGAAGGAGTTGCTGCTAAAACTCCTCTGCATAAACTTTGCCACATTCTCTGCACCACTGTAGCTATGAGGACCAAAAACTTGGTTATTATTATAAGCGTTTTGGTCAAAAGCTAAATGGCATTGCTCAGTTTTGACTTCCAGAGCATCGAAAGCAGGGAAATTTGGCAACCCATTTGCCAAATTTGCGCAGTTTTGATCCAGAGGGTTCAGATGGGTTGCTTGGCAAAGGCTCAAGCTTTCCAATTGGTAACTTGGGGGAGAAGAAGAGAGGATTGTTGGAGAGCTTTGGTCGAGTGAATTATTATGATGAGACTGGTTTTCAACTGGGTTTTGGTTGCTTTGGTGATCTGAGATTGCTTGGAGGATGTCAATGTCTGAGAAGGGAGAGAATGGCTCGGAGAAGAACTGGTCTGGTTCATAAGACGCCATTTCTGAGTTTGAAGAATGACGGAAGAAGGAGTCATCAAGAACGTAGAGATCAGAGGAAGACATTGGAGCCCAATTCTATGGTTGGATTGAACTCCCAGAAAAAAAATGAAACTGATGGAAGAAAGTTTGGAAGTTATAGACCGAGAGGAAGTCTGGGGAAGTTACAAGAAGAAAGTGTTTGCTTTGATTTTTGTGTGTTTTGGTTTTGAAACGGCCAAGCTCTACTGACGAATTGAGCTGGTAGATTTTTGAAAAGGCTTTTTGGGGGTTACTGAGGAGCAACAAGACAAGGAAAAGCCATTTCTCGTCTCTCTCTCTCTCTCTCTCTCTCTCTCTCTCTCAAAAAGAGATTTTCAAACAACACAGGAAGAGACCAGTCCACTTCTCTGCCATGCTATAAAAAGGACCAAACTTTGCACATTTGCCCTCCTTGTTTATCATATTTTGAGAAGTTCTCCAAGGCTTTTTTCATTTTATCAATTATCCCAACCCTTCCCTTTTTCTTTTGTTGGCATAATTTTATCTTTGCAAATAGTAGATTTCTTTATTTGTTATTAAAGAAGTCAAATTGATTAGGACATATTGAAACATAAATCAACTTTAAATGTACGGAAGATTGTTGTTGGTATTCGAGGTAACTAATTGACCTGGTTAAAAACAAATTAATCGTGAGATATCAGCGGACAAAAATGATATTGAACCGTAAAAAAAGAAGATAAATATCGATATCAATAAGAAAAAGCGAACAACATTAGTAAAATCATTTGCTAACGACTAACTTATTACTAACAGAATTGAGAAGCATGTTAGCTATACAACACAATTGCCGATGATTAGTTTTCTAGAAGAATGAGAGCATTCTCATGATTGCACGCGTTATTAAATATTGTAAAAAAAATGTCTCATGAGTGAAGTATATCTCGCTAATCATATAATATTCGGTATTCTCCCGCGATAACAACGACAAAATAGACGCTTATATAAAGGTAAAAGACAAATTGTTGTATGTTGTGTACTCTTCTCACTTCTGAACATTGTTAGTGCATTTTAGATTTAACTTAAGAATATATCAAATGTTGAATCCATGGAACTTGACCGATTAGACATTTATATAAAGGTAAAAGACAAGCTCCCACATTTGTGAAACTTTCTAACTCCTAAATACTGTCATAATATCATAAGATTTTAACTTAAGCATATGAAGTTCTTTAATGATAAACACTCTCAACTCATTTACAAACTTACTCAAACTTGGATTGTCTTCAAATGAGAGTACTCTTGCAATTAATCTCTCATTTTATTGGCTAATTATGGTTAAAGATAGAGAGTGATTAATTAAAATGTGACCAATAGGGTATTAGTTGGATTGACTTTTTGGTGTGCTTTCAAGTAATTCTGAGTTCAAGTCCTCATGATACCTGCGTGTGTGAGTTCTCCTTCCCCTTTCTAACTTTGGCAAAAACAAAAATGTGAACTATAATTAGGGATGACAACGAGACGGGATGGACACGGATTATATATTCTCACAAAATAAACTGGATCCCATCAAGTAATATGACCACACATGGTTGATGAAGGGACACAAAAGCAAAGCCCAACTCTGAAATACGGGCCCATGCACCAATAGACCAATGCTCAAATTAAAAGCAACTTCTAGAGTAATTCCTCCACCCACAAAACTACTCAGCACCACCCAAATTGACACAAAATATTCCGATGAAGATTTAGGACACACATGGATATTCCAGCCTCGACCCGTAATAAAAGGCGTTGACAAGCTGGCATTAGATTAGACCAATCAAAATAAGTTAATTTAACTTAATTTATTTTAATTCCATGTTCATCGGCTTCATCGGAAATGGTTATCCGCGTAATACTTAATTACGTGGAAATTCCTTTTCGTTTTTTAAAATTATTCGTATCTTCTTTTTCTATTGGACGCAGAGTATTTTCTTTGGCTTATTACTTTTCTTTTCTCCCTTGTACTCATTGATTTAATAAATAAATAATAAAAGTCTGCGAAAGACTTTGATTTTTCATTTCTTCCGTTGGCTCTTTCTTCTTCAGATCACCACTTCTTCTTCTCCTTATTATAATTAGCAGGGCCGGCGGCCTCGCGGAAGTCGCTGCTCTTGCTCTTCTTCGTCTTCTTCTTCCTCTCCTTCAATTTCTCTGTGAGTTGTGTACGGAACAGTAACAGCAGCAGCCATGCCGTCGCAGGAGTACATGGACAAGATGCAGGGGCGCCAGAACTATCGAAATCTCTGGCACTCTGACCTCATGGGCACCATTCAGGCTGACACTCGCTGTACTCTCTCTCTCTCTCCCTCTCTCTCTATACATTTAATTCGTTCAGTATCTGATCTGCTGTGAATGTTTGTTGCAGATTGCTGCTTTGCGGCTTTTTGGTGAGTGCTTATCGATCTGCTTTGCTTGCTTCTTAACCGTTGCTAGATCTGATTTCGTTGTCAATTTCACTGTTTCACTTTCTATTCTGTTTTTCGTCATTCTCGTTGCCTTCGTTGACTTGGTCTCGCACACTTTGACTTCAAGTTTTAAAAAAAAAATTATTCTTCAATTAAAGTTGGAAATTGAGTAATTCGTTCTGAATGACAAATGCTTGTTGCTCTGCACAATGTATCACTGCATGCTTTGAATTGCTTTGTGTTCTGAGTTTTACTGGATTTTCCTTGTAATTTGAAAGCTATGCATCTTGTATTATTTCCTTAGGTATTTTTATAGATAAAATTCATTTTATCAAAATGGAAAAATAATAGAACAGAACAGAACCATCAGTGTATTCTATGGTGGCAGGATAGATGAAATTTGCCCAGCCACATCCTAAATTTTCACTACCATGGGACTAGTATAATATATGGTGTGGTTTGAATTCTTCTGCAAGGAGAACTAATTTGTATAGATCAGCATTGGATGGAAACTAAAGAACACAGAGTAGAACAAGTAGCAACCTCAATGCAGTAATTTTCCGTCATATGAAGAAGAGATACTATTTAATACTTTTGGTATATGGTTAATGCTATATAGACTTTAAATTAATTTTGATGTGTATTGCCATGCCTTTATAGTTATGCATTGTCTTGTGATCACCTTTTTTCTTGAGAGCCAACTCCTAGACTTCTCCAATTTTCCATTTGGGGTTTTAACTTGGAATCGGGTCTTTGATTTCTCACCATATATGAAAAAAACTATTCAATCATGCACTGAAATTTTGCCGCCCAGTATGGTGCTTCTAATTTATTTTTGTTTCCCTGTAGTGCGCCATGTGCATCATACTTGCTCCGCAAACGGGCTCTGTATAATGACATGTCAAGGTAATTTATATTTTGAATTTCCTCGATTCTAAATCTAAAATTAGCTTATGTCACCCTTTCTTTGATAATTGTGCTTTTGCTCTCCCTAGATATGTATGCTGTGCTGGTTACATGCCCTGTAGCGGTAGGTGCGGGGAAAGTAAATGCCCTGAATTTTGTCTGGCGACTGAGGTATAAGATTTAATTTTATGACACTTTTTTGTTTAGTTTGCGCCTTAGTCAAATCCTAGGTGTAATATATATGTCTTACATATCATAAATTTTTTCCTTCTTACTAGTATATTTTATGATGTTCTTAGGAGTTGCTTAGGTTCTTGCCTTTGATATAGAGAAGACACATTGATGGCTATTCATCTAACAATTATGGATGAGTTAAGTATTTCGCCCTAAGTCCTGTGCATGTGGACATGATTAGATTTTCATTTGGATGCATCACATCCAGAGAAAAATACAGAAAGTTCAGCTCTGTTGGATAACACTAGGTGGGGTTTTCCTATGATTAAGGCGGGATTTCAGATGGCAGAAATATTAGTAATTAGAACATTTATAGGGAAAACAGAAAAAGTATGGAAGAATATATCAAAGGAATTAAGCCTTGAACTGTTCACAACCCAATGTGATGTTTTAATTCCTCCAAAATCTATGTTTTACAAGCGATACCTTCTTCATAAACTTTCAATAGAACCCCTGCTGACTCATAGAAATGGTAGACAACTCATTACATTGTAGGAAAGTACAAGAAGGCTCTTAAACAATTCAAAAAGTATTTAACCCAAATATTGGCTCTTAATAACTCTTGCCACTGTTAGACTAACTCTGAAATGACATCTAAAAATATACTGAATCTTAAAATATATTTAGTAATTACATAAATGGATTGGCTTTTTGTATCTTGGTTTACCTTGGAAAGCTCTTTGGACTGGGAATCTCTTGACTGAATTGGGCCAACAGGGTTTCTCTTCTTGGGCTTATAGAGAGGATTTTTATTTTTTTTTATAATTTTTTTTTCCTAAGGAAGATGGTATTACTGCATCACCTGATAGAGCCTCAAGATGCTTCTGTTTTGGCTAATTATAAGCTCCTGGGAGGCATAGGGATTGCAATACTACCTTTTACACTATAGTTTCGTTAAGCATTGAGGATAGAAATTTAGTGCAGAGAGCAGAAACAGAACAAGGTGGGAAGGGGATCTGTTGTTTCTAATCTCATAACCAGAATCGGGTGCATTTATTCAATGAGAACAAACCCATCCATATGTTGTCTGATTGCCATTGATCACGAATCATGACTTTGTCAAATTTGGCTCTATCACCGTGTAATTTATGCCCAATTAAGTGGGGCTTTTTGTTCACGGAGTTTCTCATTAGAAATTCAAATTATTATCAATTATTTCGAAAGAGTGTAATGAGTGTCAAAATTGCTTTAGAGGCTGAATTTTCAATTAAGAGACTGCAAGTAGAGAGAGATTTGTTGTTTATTCTTTCTTTCTTTGGGTTATGCAAACAACCTTTCTTAGTCAGTTGTATACTTGCCATTGTCAGAATTTGATTACTCATAGTTGGAGCTGCAGTGAGCTTCTCTTCCCATAGTCTCTAATTTTCCTACTATGCTTGATGTTCCAGGTTTTCCTGTGCTTTGGGAATTCAGTGGCCTCAACCCGCTTTTTGTTGCAAGATGAATTTAATATACAGACAACGCAATGTGATAATTGCATTATTGTAATCTCTCTCTCTCTCTCTCTCACACACGCATTTAAAGTAACCGCGTTATTCAGCTGATAGCCATATTTCCCCTTGTTAACAGGGTTTCATGTTCTGCCTACAACAAATTGCGTGCATTTTTTCCATTGTCGCAATGATTGTTGGAAGTGAAGAAATCTCAGAGGCATCTCAGTTACTGAACTGTTTGGCTGACCTGGTGTATTGCACGTAAGTTCTTTTCTTTTTCCCATTAAACATTCTCAGTGGACGTTGATCGGAAGTACTGATTTTACATTTGCCTTTTTTTTTTCTTTTTCTGTAGGGTCTGTGCATGTATGCAGGTAAGCAAGTGGCTTTTTCTTTTTCTTCTTATACTTCACATTTTTAACACTCCCAAATTTTAAGCTAGAACAAAACTTAGATGAACTTCATTGGCAGCTGACTTCTGACTTGGGATATGCAGACCCAACACAAGATCGAAATGGACAAACGTGACCACAAGTTTGGGCCACAACCTATGGCAGTGCCTCAATTCCAGCAGATGTCTCGCATTGATCAGCAAGTTCCTCCCTCAGTTGGGTATCCGCCTCAGCCGGCATATCCACCTCAGCCAGCGTATGGGCAACCTTATGGCTATCCACCTCCCCAGCAGGCTCAAGGCTATCCACCAGCTGGTTATCCTCCAAGTGGCTATCCACATTCTGGCCATTAACTCTAGGTGATTTTTGAGTTCGAATCACCATCTATGGTGGCCTCTGTATTCAATTGTGTTACATGTTGTTGGTTTGCAATTATTGTCACCGTGAAGTTCCAACTTGTGTGCATCGACCGTGGCTCTTCTTGGAGTTTACTTGCAAGATGTTTGACAGATACAGTAATTATTATTATTATTTTTTCGGTGCTTTGCTTTTTCACCTTCTTAAACTTGAAATTCCAGAACCTTAATATACAAACGCGAGCTTCTTGTCCATCATTAACATTTTTCTCCTTCGCTTTATGGTTGTGTGAATTTGGGCGAGTATATGAAAATATCATTTCAGTTTATTTCCACCATGCGGTAACCAAACAACGGATTTGGTAATTCAAGTGGTTAAGAACAGTTACCAATATGCATGAGAAAAGCGAGCATAGTTGAACTTGGTATTGGAGTTGTTGGATTGCTAAATACCCAACGTATTTAAATTTAATTTAACAGCTTCAATATTACTCATGTTATACTTTTTCTCATACTTGTAGGAGAATTTCTCCTTTTAAGTTATTTAAAAGTTTGATGAAGTGTTGTTTTATCAACTCGCAATTTAAATACATATTTGGAGTAGAACGACTGTAATGCACATCAAAGTAATGCGTGGACTCTCTTGGGTTTATTGGACGAATGAAAGAGATGAAACAGTCGGCTCTCTCAGTTTTGGTTGTAAAGTCATTTGACCCACATTTCTTGATGCGATGGTTAATCAAGTGCATACTGTAAAATACTGAAAGCTTTGGGAATTTGAGATCAATACTTCCTCAAACAGTAAGCTAATTTAATACCTCGCCTAATTTTGCAACAATTTAATATGTTTTTATTTCTAATTATAACGGATGAGGTCGAACTCTTGACCTAACGCGTTTTTTTCCACCCACCCTCATAACTTAGGCTTATTGTGAAGTAGACTAACAGAGCCCACGACTAAACCCGAACCAACTCTAATGAGCTTATTATGATGTGAACCACATGTAGGACTATGTATTTCCATATTCATGACTTGTATCGAGTCATACAACGCCGACATGACAACCTCAATAATGAAACAAGCCTTAAATTCAACTAACCCACCAACCCATATAAATCTTGTACCTTCACGACGAGGTAAGGTAACACTGAAATCTCTGTCATTAACCCAACTAATTTTAGTACTAAGCATGTTTGATGCATCTACCCAACCCAACCATCCATTTCTATCCCTTTAGCTCATGCATTACGTTTAATCTTATTCTCTGAACTACCCTTGACGTTGTGGCATTGTGACCTTTGCTTTTCTTTGTCTCAACCACAGCCCCGAAATTTTCTTAAACTATAGTAGTCTCTAAATTAATAGAAGATTCTTCAATAAGTATTTAATAACTTTAACTGGCCGACGAACATGTTTGATTATATTCACTTTTTGACTGTTTTCATATATTTCAAATGTTTGCGTGTCGATTTCGTTTTCAGGTTGTCAACTTATCAAACTAGTTTTCGTGTGGGCTTTCTCTTTCAAAAAAAGAAAAAAAAAGGAGAGGAAATACCACGTATACGCTTGTACGTTTGTAACTTGAACCAGACGTTTATGTATTCTATATGCAAATGGGGTATATGATTGAACCATTTTGTACGGATTCGATGAAAGTGAAAAACATGTCAAACTAATTCAACCCATGAGCTTTTACTATTATTATACTATTAATGTTGGAGTAATGATGGAGACATCAAAATGAAATTCAAAATTTAAATCTCAAATGATGCGACAATGTTTTATTTTTAAAGTTCTAAGTTGTTGATTAAAATTTGACAAAAATTTGAAAATTGTTATGTGATATTTTATAATAATTTCTTGCACTTTATTGGAGGAACACAAATAATTTTATTATAAAGAGTTTTTCAAGATTAGAAGGGCGAGTGATTGTAACATATCTTTTACTATATAATAACATTATTGTCCAGACCCTCAAAGAGCCAACAGCCAAAATTTTTGATGACTCTAGTATTACTCATATGCTTATTTTTGTAATAATTATGATATTTCGGAATGTTCCTTTAGTTCTAGAATAAGGTATTTGAGTCAATGAGGTTTAGCCCAATGAAAAATAGTATTGACTTGCAGACAATAAGTCTCAGGTTTGAAACCTCATGGCATCATTGTTGTGTATGTGTAAGAAATCTTCACCTCTTGTAGTTTAGACTTACTTGTACTATAAAATAAAAATAAAAAAAGAAAAAGAAAAAGGTATTTGAAAATTGGACCTTGTTTTTCCTCAAAAATTTTATTTTGTTAGAGAAGATGATCTATAAAATAGAAGCACCCTTCAAGACTACAAAATTTGAATCAAGATAAAGTGAGATGAAAGAAAAAAAGAAAGAAAGAAAAAAAAAAAAAAAAAAAAAAAAAAAAGAGGATCTTGGACACCTCTTCAAATTGCTCGCATGGAGTATCAACAATAACCCTACACAAAAGAAAATTAGAAAATAAAGATATGGAAATCGAAAAATTAGAAAAATAAAGATATGGAAATCGAAAATTAGAAAAATAAAGATATGGAAATCGAAAAATTAGAAAAATAAAGATATGGAAATCGAAAAATTAAAAAAATAAAGATATGGAAATCGAAAAATTAGAAAAAGAAATATATACAAATCGTAAAATTAGAAAAATAAAGATATGCAAATTGAAGAAAGTGATGTTGCAATTAAGTAAGAATTGAACATACTTGTGGGTTCAGCCAAAGAAAAAAGAAAGCGAAAGCCGAACGCGGTCTTTGAAAAATGTACAAAAACTTGATATATCTAGAAGCATTGGGTATTTCTTATTAAAAAGAAAACATAAAAAGCATGTATCATGAGTTTAAGAATCCCTAGTGGGGTTTTGTTGTTTGAAAATCATGCACAGGCGGTGGCTTTTCTCCATGCCCTATGGCTTATTAGTCAATACGAAGTCTTTCAACTCAATACTTACATAAATCGCTCCGATAGTAAAATCTTCAATCATCTAATCATTTAACGTCAAATTAGTGTATGGTTGTCAGACAAACAACAGCTTACAATAGAATGCATATATGACTTATGTCAGTTCACTAGGGCAGTGAGTCCGTCCTTCTTACACTCAAGTTCGAATCATCGTTTTTGTAAATTTGATTAATCTAATAATATGGATCAAATGAAACCTAATTTGTTCATGCCGGCACAATTTGTGCAAGGTTATGAAAACCATTTTATAAATTATCTTGAGGCAGGCCGTTGATATACAAAAAAATAGAAGATTCCCGAGAAACAAAAAGAAAAAGAAAAAGAAAAATGATTCCCGGAAACCTGGATATTTCTTTTTGGGTAGGGACTAGAGATATAACCTTGAAGTCTGAAACTGATGATGATATCACATGAATATTAAAACAAAAATTCTCCATTTTTTTCGTATGTAGTGACAAGTGCAGTTCAAATCCACCCACATCTAAAGCTGCATGGTTCTTCACCCCTTTGTTTTCTTCTTTTCTTTTTCAAGTTTTTTTGATAGAGTTTCTTTTTCAAGTTGGCAGAGAGAGGGAGGGAGAGAGAGAGATATATATATATATATATATATATATATATATATATATATAACCCATTTGATTTCAAGCCCATCTGAAAAGCTTGGAGGACTGCAAAGAAAACTTCCATGTCTTCCATGACCAGAATTTTGGCCAATGTGAACCCACCAACTGACAATGTCACGCTCCATTTCATAATAAAATTAATGACTTACAATATACATACCAAACCCCAAACTAGCCCTGCACCAATTTTTATCACACACCAACCAAATCAATTAAAACAACCCATCACCAAAAAAATCTTAGTCACAACTATAAAAGTTTTTATTTATTTAAAAACAATAAACTATACAAAACTATCTCATTGCATTGTACTCGATCCTCATTTCATTTCTCATTTTTCTTTATCCAATAATTTCCTATATTTACACAATATTACATAAACTTCGTGGTAAAAAAAAAATTTACCACGAACATTCGCGACAAGAATTCGACTCAACTAAATTTTGTAACAGAATTGTGGCTGTAAATGTGACCAGAGTTCGATTCTTGTTCTTCTCTCGAGTTTTTTAGAGCTACAAATCTAAACCATTATCAGTATAGGGATAAAAATGGTCGTAAAAATCGGGGATCCCAGAAGCCGCCCAAAGCCTCTCATTGAAATCGCCCTGCATATCGTCCGATATGAACGGCGTACGACACAGCGGGCACGTCTTCTGGTCGTAACCGACCCACCGGTCCACGCACCCTTTGTGGAAGATGTGACGACAATTCGTGAGGCTTCGTATCTCGTCCTCGTTCTCGAACTCGTACAGGCACACGGCGCACGACTCGGGCGGGTCGACCAGGTCCGAGAACTTGACGACGGGCAGGATTTCGCGGATCAGAACGGCCGACGCCGAGTGGAACTCGGGGAATGGGGCGGGTGGGTCGGCCCAGGCATTGTCGGGTTGGATGAAATCTTGGAAACCCAGTAAGGAGAAGAAGGTGGAGATGAGTTTTCGGATGAGACCCAGAAGAGAGAGAGTGTGGATGAAGAGCTTTGGGAGGAGGAGCTCTGTGTAGCCCACCGGAAAACCCATTAAAGCTTTGAGCTTTGAGCTCGTGGAGCTTCTTATGGAGTGTGTTTTGCTTAATTCTCAGTGTTTTGTGGAGATTTTAGAGAGAGAAAGAGGGGTAGGGAGAGAGAGACAGAGGATGTGGAGTGAGGAAGAGGAAGGGTTATATAGAAGCCATGGATGAGGAGGATTGAGAGAGTTGTGGTTGAATGACATTAATGGCCTCCAAGTTTGTGGAGAATTACAGAGCCAAATTGTATTCACATTTATTTTTTGTACATACAGAAGACGTTAAAACAGCTTTTGCCTCTCCTTAATTAATTAATCATATTCATTACAAGTAAAAACAAGATTACAGTTGTTTACACGAGAAGATTCCAGAAGATGATGTTAAAACATATAGACCCTGGTCTTTTTAATTTGATTAAATTAAAATATAATTAAATTGGGTTTGACAAATCAACACAGTAGTAGAACTTGTTTGGTCAATAACTTGTAAATTGTAATTTAAGCACTTAATTTAACGCACACTCCACGTCGCGTGTTTGAATCCGGTTGTTGAAATTTTGGATAAATTTTTGATAATCATAATATTTGGTATAACCAAACTAATGGGAGCCATTTTGTTTGAAAGTGCTAGAATTCTCCTCCTCCATTTTGTTTAGTTTTTTCCTCTCTCCCAAAATAATGGGAGCCAACAACTACTTGTAGTCTTATTAGGAGTTAATTTTCTAATGAAGTGAATTAGTCGAAGGTAAATCTGCATAGAGAACTCCTGGAATATGAATAACGTGCCCTTTGAGTACAAGGAACAATGATCACAAAAAATCCTGCGATTTGAATGAGGAATGTCCATGAAACATTTGTCGTGGCCCCTAACTGATAAAGAGATGTGAGAATGTTATCAGAAACAAACAATTTATGTTGATGGGTTTCTTGACGGCAAAGTATCAGAGTCATTGATAGGGTTCATAGTTTGAAAGTGGATTTATCAAAGCAGCACTCACTTAAACTAGATTTATGCCAAAGATTATGTCCCCTTGAAAATTAGTGATATAGTTAAGCCAAATTTTCTTGCTTAATTAAGTTCTAGTAAAGCTATAACGTGGTAACGGCTAAAACCTCCATATTTGTACCGACATGTTATCAATACACTCCAACTTTGTTAAAATACCGAGCATCATAAGCATACAATAGTTTTGGTGCTGAAATGTCATAGACATGAAGTGGGGCTAATACTAATAGTCGCATCCCTTAGTTTAGAAGTCCCCTAATAATTGGGGAATACATAACAGATGGTAAGTGTGATGAGTCTCATGACTAGCTATTGGTGATCATATTTGGTGCTTTGACAAATCTAGGTGTCATTGTCCCGTCTTAAATGGGATGGGAAATGGGGGCACCACCAATATGTCAACTGATCTTATGCCTTTGATTTTAGACAACCTTGAGGTATCCATCACTTTCTTTTCTCTCTTCACGTCCACACAGTAAATGCATGACAATAAATCTATCGTGATTTCAAAATGAAAGTACATAATACAGTTGTATAATTTTTACAAATTCAAACATTCTAGATTCGTTATCTGACACGTAAATGAACTCAATTTGTAAACTCTAACGTCCTATTCAACACCATACATGCTAGATATCTAGTCACTTTTTCATAAAGGACCCACTAGTATAGTAATTTGGAGCAATTGTTCCTTGAGAAAATGTCATAGGTTCGAGTCCTAATATCCATATATTGTGTGTGAGTTTAGTAAATTATCGCCAATCTCAATAGGAAATGTACTTAAAAGCTTTGTATCCTAAGAAAAGGGAGGGTTAAAAATGGTTTTTGGGAAACCAAGACTTTCCCTGCCATAATACTAGTGGCTCCTTGATTACATGTCAGTCAGAACGATAACAGTAACAATTGCTTGGAAGGGGCCAATCATTTATAAAGTGATGAAAATCAAAAAATTCTTCTTTCATGTGAGAGAGAGAGAGAGAGAGAGAGAGAGAGAGGGAGAGAGGACAAAGGATCTGACAAAGGTGGTGGTGTTGGGGGTGGGTGGGGAGAGGAGAGGCCTGCAGGCCAACCATCCAAGCAGGATGGGCTGGAATCTGGATGATGCAGAGAAAAGAAAAACGAGGCGTGGCAACATTTGAGCCCAAGTGGGTGGGGGGTGCACCCAGCTCCTATTTCTCCAAAACTCGCTCTGACTTGTGTCCTATGCATCCAAGACATCTCTGGCCCAACAGACACATTCATATAATATATATATATATATATATATAGAAAGAGAGATAGAGGATTAAGACTGGTAGGGGCCAACTCACCTCACCCACCCCGACACCAAGTCACCACCTTTGCTCCCTTCTCTTGTCTCATTCTCTGTCTTTGTATCCAAACATGCCCTTCGCCCTTGACCTATTGCTTACCATCTGTCTATTATTATGCTACTCAAATAATGGGCCTGTTTCTTGTGAATTTGTGCTTCTCATATTCCATGCACATCCATCTATCTCATTCATGTGATGCATGAAATGGATTTGATTTTCTTTACATAATTATTCGAATCTAGAACGTATGAGTTCAATGCGTTGAATGCTTATCGTTTTATCAATAAATTAGGTGTGCATGTTCTATTTTTGGGTATCTTAGTGCTAGAATGCCGTCGTTGATTTAATTACTTCCTGTGACTATACACTCATTGACTATGTATATGGTTTGCAACTTCATGATGGAGATTACTTCTGAAAAAAAGAATTCAAGCCAATTATTGAAATCATGAATTTGTTGATATTTTGCAAACTCGTTTGGCAATGCTTTACTTTTCATGCACGTTTCAACTTTTAACCCTAACCTATAGTTCTAAAAGTTAAAGCTGTTAAAGTTTGATTAAGAAAAACAATCCCAGCTTCATTAGCTAGGGTGAGAGAAAGGTCCCAATTCAATTGAGGCACAAGAGTAGACTAGTAGTAGGCAATTTGGTGAGCTCACTGGCATTCATTTGGCCCTATTAGGATCAGATTAACATGCAGGTAGGCCAGCTAAATCCAACCATGATCACCTTAATTTCACTCTAAGCATCTTGTACTTTCAAGCAAGAGTGTACCTTTTTTGCACATTATTTAATTTAATCAGTCAGGGATCATGTTTAAAAAAACATGATTTGTAAGGGGTTAGTGCCAAATCTTGCCCTATAGCATATATAAAAAAAACTATGATCATATCTGCAGAAATTGCCTGCCACAAGGGCTAACCAAAGCATCACAGACTTGTCTACTGGCAGGTTATAAGATCGAATTTCATCCAACCTTGCCTGTCAGAAAATGTCTTGAGATTCATAACACAATGTCTTGAAAAAAAACAAAAAAAGAAGAAAAAAGCTTATATTTAATGGGACAATTAGGACCAACTTGCAAAACGGTCTTCTGGGGTCAAGCTCAATTTGACATGTGAGTGCATGACTAATTAATCTTAATTATTGTTTTTTAATTCTGTTTTTTCACCCCCTTCCAGCTAGGTTTGAACCTACTTGGCCTGCACTTGATTTGGTTAAGTATAAAAGACAGAGGATGAGCTAGATGAGCTTGCTACGGCGCAGCTGCTTGCTCACTCACAAGCTGCATATGGATTCCTTTAGACAAGTGCCTGTGCCATGTTGATTTGCTTTTAGCAGAGATTGCTCGCAGCTTTACTGTATACCCACGTTTTGCTTGTGGAACAAACAAACCTCTAAAATAATTTTGGTGGAATTTCTTGGGGAAGGGCCCCTGTAAGCCTATAACTAATCAAACATATGGCAATAATGTGTTACATTGTCTTCAGTTGCCATTATTAATGAGGTTTAATAGTCTAATCTTTGCCTTCTTTGTGCCTAACCTATCTTTTTTTATGCTAAATGCTCTCACTTTCGGTTTATCTTTTTTCTTTTCTCACTCAATATCGCTTTGATAAAATGTTGCGACTTTTGTTTATAAATTTTATTCCGATGAATGATTTGTTTAGGATGATTAAAAAAATTTGGGTATGAGCATATGTAATTTAGCTATTACTAGAGTAATGATATTTACGCTCCCGATTTATCATCCAACATTCTTTCTGTGAATTTATAGTACAAGATGACAAACTAGAAATGTGATAACAGCTATAAAAAATACATGATGATCAAAATGGCTCATGAGTTCAAACTGAATCTCTCTTTCTGATGGCTAATGGAAAAACCCCTTTCTCTTGAGCTAAGTGCTAATCTTGTCGGCTAATTAATTAGCTAGAGCTAGTTACTACAGTATGATGTTAAAAAAAAAGTTAGGTTTCTAGGGCTTAGGTAGTTGGGTGGGATAAGCACTTGGAGAAAGAAGATTAAAAGAATAAGACCCAAAGGGAGATTTTTGCCAGACTCACATTTTGATGGCCGACTGTAATCAAAGATAACGATATTAGCAGAGACAGTAGTCAGAATGGTGGGTCATCTTTGGCATGTGGGCATGTCTGGTGTTCTTGTACCTAACCCTACTCCTCCCGGAATGTTTTTGTACATCTAGCTATCGATCTAAGCTCTACATGTGACTCTCAAGCCATGTATAAACTCAAATATTGTGCATTTGGATTCATATGAGTAAAACTATTCAGATTTACTTGATACGCGTAGTTAGTAAGTGATTATAAGTAGTGGCGGATCTAGGATTCAAAAGTCAAGTAGGCAAAGCTTACCTTAAAAATTTGACAGTACGAGTGAATTTCATTCATAAAAATAAAAAGATACACCTAGTCGGGGAGAGCGTAATGAGATTTACCTTAAGATGTAAAATCTTGACAAAAATTAAAAAATAAGTAAACAAATTAATACAATGCAACAAAAAACTAAACTATTTAAATCTAAAACTAAATTAAACTATTAAAAAACTTAAGATGCATATATTTATTTTAGGAAAAAGCCAATAAAAGAATACTTATTGGTCTTAGATATGAGAAAATGTTACCAAGAGAGAATGTCCAGACTCAAGAAGAAGCTGCAAAAGATAATGATTTG